TAAACCTAGAATTGTAATCTTGAATTGCGTCTTCAATATCGTATTTTAATTTGTATATATAAATAAATAAATATTCATTTACATATATATATATATATACATATACATATATATATATATTGATTAATTTAAAGAAATAAATGAAATATATATATATATATATATATATATATATATATATATATATATATATATATATATATATATATATATATATATACATATACATATAGAGTATTTTCAAGTCAATTTCAACCTTTTCCAAGTCAAATTCAACCTTTTCCAGATCAAATTAATGTTTTAATTTTTGTAAATTTTATATTTTTTTTTTAAATAATGGCCATCCCCCCCCCTCCCCCCCTCCAATATGAAAGTCTATTATTATGCTCTCCAAAGTAAAATTTTCACTTACGGATATAGATTTATTGTACCTATTCGGATTTATTAGGGACTAGTATTATGCTGTCCTGTACCGAGTTTTCAAAATAACCTCCATTTTAAGATTGCGCCACTGTGTTTCGACTTATTTAAGTTTTTTTGATTTATTCAAAACAACGGTGTATTCTTATGTTTTCCGAGCCGTAAATTATGAAAATAAGCTCCATTTTATGATCAGGCCACAGCGTTTTGACTTATTTAAGTTTTTAGAATTTATCCAATATAAAGGTCTACTTTTATGTTTCCGAAGCCGTAGATTTTGAAAACGACCTCCATTTTAAGATTAGGCCACCGCGTTTTGATTTCTTTGAGTTTTTCGGATTTTTTTCATATGAGGGTGTATTCTTAGGTTTCCGGAGCCGTAGATTTTGAAAACGAACTCCATTTTAAGATTAGGCCACCGCGTTTCGATTTCTTTAAGTGTTTCGAATTTTTATCATAAAAGAGTGTATTCTTATTATTCCGGATGTTTAAGATTAGGCCACCGCGTTTCGAATTATGAAATTTTTTTTGATTTATTCGATATAAGGGTGTATTTTTATGTTTCCCGATCCGTAAATTTTGAAAACGACCTCCATTTTAAGATTACGCCACTGTGTTTCGACTTATTCAAGTTTTTCGATTTATCCAATTTAAAGGTCTATTTTTATGTTTCCGAAACCGTAGATTTTGAAAACGACCTCCATTTTAAGATTAGGCCACCGCTTTTCAACTTATTTGAGTTTTTCGGATTTTTTTCATATAAGGGTGTATTGTTATGTTTCCGGAGGCGTAGATTTTGAAAATGACCTCCATTTTAAGATTAGACCACCGCGTTTCGAATTATGTAAGTTTTTTTGATTTATTCGATATAAGGGTGTATTTTTATGATGGCGGAGCCTTAGTTTTTAAAATGACTTTTAGGCCACTATTTTTTGTTTTTATTAAGTGATTTTGATTTTTCCTTTGAATAAAAAACAAAATACGAAGGATTAATTTATTTTTCAATAAATAAATAAAAATATCTAATCGAAATAAATAAAATATGTATTGTCTCATTTTTAATTTAATTTTATTTATCTTTTTTAATGTTGTGGTCTCCTGTAACAAAATTATAAGATTTCAAACAATTAGCTGAAAAATCTGATTACGGTAGGTTAAATTTATTACCAGTTGCTTTTCGGCTTTTTAGTTTGTATTCTGCGGTTAATTTAACTTTAGCTTCATAATATTCATTTATTTATTTATTTATTCATACTCGAAAACATATTGATAAAAGTTTGTATTGAAAAAATCCAAAATGAAGCCTAATTAATCGAGATGCAGCGGCTTAATCATAAAATGAAGATCAAATATTAGATAAATTTAAATATTAAAGATTAGAAAAATTTCAATACATTCCGATAACATATAAGTAGATCCTTATACGGAAAAATTAAAAAAAAAAATTATAATCCAAAACACAATGGCATAAACTTGAAATGGGGTCATTTACAAAATGGGGGAAATCTACTGCTCCAAAAACATAAAAGTAGACCTTTATATATGATAAATTTGAAAAACTTAAATAAGTTGAAACGCAGTGGCGTAATCATAAAATAGAGGTCATTTTCAGAATCTACGGTTCCGAAAATATAAAAGTAGACCTTTAAATTGGATAAATTCGAAACACTCAAAGAAATCGAAACGCGGTGGACTAATCTTAAAATGGAGGTTGTTTTCAAAATCTACGGCTCCAGAAACCTAAGAATACACCCTCATATGAAAAAAATCCGAAAAACTCAACGAGGTGGCCTAATCTTAAAATGGAGGTCGTTTTCAAAATCTACGGCTCCGGAAACAAGAATACACCCTCATATGAAAAAAATCTGAAAAACTCAAAGAAATCGAAACGCAGTGGCCTAATCTTAAAACGGAGGTCGTTTTCAAAATCTACGCCTCCGGAAACATAAAAGTAGACCTTTATATTGGATAAATTCTAAAAACTTAAATAAGTCAAAACACAGTGGCGCAAACATGAAATGGATGTCATTTTCAAAATTTACGGATGGGGAAACATAAAAATAAACCCTTATATCGAATAATTAAAAAAAAACTTGCATAATTCGAAACACAGTCACTTAATCTTAAAATAGAGGTTATTTTAAAAAATTACTCATACAATAACAGACCCACACATCGAAAAATTAAAGATAATTAAATAAATAAAAAAAAGTTGAATTTGAAATGGAAAAGGTTTAATTTGAAATGGAAAAGGTTGAATCTGACTTGGAAAAGGTTGAATTTGACTTGGAAAAGGTTGAAATTGACTTGGAAATGCTACATATATATATATATATATATATATATATTTCATATATATAATGAAATAAATAAATATATATATATATATATATATTTTTCATTATCCTCAACTAGGGCGCGTGCCTCCAGAGAATTCTTGATCATAAAGGCCTTGCTTCCGGCAGTGAATATTCGAAGCATTGCTCGTACCTCGCGGCTGTAGGTGAGAGTACAGAGAGTTTCCGAGCGTAGGCTCTGGAGAACGAGGAAGACGTAATAATGTCCATCTTTGCTCTATGGGTGTTGGATCCAGCCATCAGACGTCAATCTGAATTCTCTCACGTGAGCGGAGAGTTCCCTGCGAATTTGAAACGGTACCTTCTGACAAATCGCGCGTCTAGTCAACGAAAAAGTGAAGAACCGGAGTATCATTGCTTGCCAGCTAAGCGGATGTTCGTCCCGCCTCGCTCAAGCATTCGTCATCGCCTAAACTGACAACTCCAGAAGGATCTGAAGAGTAGGTTCCGAAGCCGAAGATAACGGGAGGAGGTTCCGCAAAGTAAATCCATCTCGCCCAGCAAGGATCCGTGTTCTCACTGCAAGGGGAAACATCATTTGGCATGGTGTTTTGGGTTCCTGGCGCTATCAATCGAGGAACGCTACGGATTCGTGCAGTCGCACCGACTTTTAGTTTTAATTGCCTAAGATCGGGTCCTCTACTGTCAGAATGCCGCTCCGCTTATACATGCACGTTTTGCGACAAAAGGCACCACAGTGTACTACATGCAGGCGACTGCTCCGGTTTGAGGGCCAATGGAGATGCTGATGAGGTGGCTCGGTCTCATGTGGCTTCACGTCGGAGGCCCTGATGGGTACGCCCAGGTGGTGCTGTCTGGGTCGGGACACTGTACGTTGGCGCGCCTACTATTGGACTCCGGCAGCCAGTACACCTTTATCAATGCTGAACTAGCAACTCGAATTGGCAGCCTGATCCAGTCTTTCAGAGGTAGGATATCGGGTTTCGGTGGCGACCCCGTCGGCAACATAAGAGGATGTGTCATATTTAGCCTCGGACCACCTTTGACAATCGCACGAACTTCAGAGTACGTGCTTTGGTGATGGACCGAATAACATCTGATATTCCGAGGCATCCTCTGCCTGTCGATATGTTACGTGAACTGTCGAGCCATGTCCTTCAGAAATCCGGGCCCCATCGAGGTGTTCGTGGGTGTCGATTTGTACCCCCGCCTTATCAGCCGGTGCTCTCACCAAGGCCAGAAACGAACATCTTTATCTTTTACCCACTCAACTTGGAAAAGTCATGGGGACTTATTCGAACGGCAACACTTTGTGCGGCTTTTCCCTCCTCCCGCAGGACGATTACGACATATGCCGGAGGAGCTTACGGCATACTGGGTGCTGGATGAGCCACTGTCGATAACCCCGGTAACCCGAAGACGTCATTTGTGAGGACATAGTGGGAATTTTTCAAGAGATTGTGAAAGCTATATTCACGTTGAAATAGTCGGTGATAATAATATTGTAATGAGAAACCACGTTAATTAGAGAGAGCACGTTATCAGCCCACTGCAGCTAAGTCAGGTGGGGGAGGGGCTGCTCCTTCAGAGTAAATTGAATCACTCCACCGTTTGGGACAACTAATTAGGGAAGATGACTCTAGGATGTGTACTTTTTGTGACCTTTGCCTGCAGTGAGGGGTGTTGTAATCTGCTGTATACAATGTACTCTGTGTGTGTGCGCTTTGTTTCTCCAACCCAGAGGGCCAGTGGCTGACTCAGATACAATGACCGGGTGATGAGGCCGCCATCTCCCTACGCCCTACCCACTTCGGTCTCCTAGGTTATGATATTTCCTAACTTTTCCAAGTCTAGGAGACACCTTGGATTTTGTAGAGAATTTTCTTTATGGTGCAGATATAGTTGATCATACATAATTATAGGAGTTGGTTTAGGAGTGCAACCAATGAAGAAAATACTGATAAAAAAAAGTTTTTCTGTATTTCTTTGAAAATTCCTGTATTTATAAAGAGAACTTTTACTTGTTAGTATGTTCTTCATTGATCACAGCATCGTATTAACAACCTCTACTTAAGTGAATTTTCTTTCATTTTTATAAACCGAAGAATTGATGATTTTCATATTTTTTCTTGATTGAAACTTGATTGATTGTTAAAAACAAAAGGACATAATCATAAATATATTTAATGATACATATATTTAAAATTTAACATCATGAAAAAAAAAAGAATAAAGAGATAAATCAAATAATTCAGTACTTACTGTATTACTAGGTCTGGTATAGTTATTTGTTCTAAATTTAAGTGTTCAGCCAGCTCGTTGAGATAGTTAACATACATAACCTTCCGACCAAATTTGACACTAGAGAAAAACAAAAATTAACTATACTTTTAATATTTATATCAACTAACTACTACACATAAACTGTTAAGTTTGAACCAATTAATTAAATATGGTAGACTTATAAATGGAATTGACCAATATTTAATAGTATTCTAGAAATCCAAAGGTCAATAATCTTGAATTCCAAGGATCTTGAAATTATGAGTATTTTTGACTAATTAAAAATTAATAATTAATTTCTTTTTAAATTTGAAGAATAAAATGACTTTATTTTAAATCTTATGAATTAATTAGAGACAAGGTTCTTGTCTTTGGATGTTATCACAGGAATGAAGAACTCTTTTTAAATAATGCCTTAATTTTTTTAAAAACATGTTATTAAATTTAAAATTGTCTTTAATATTTATACATACACAAGAAAAATTATAATTTAATTAATTTAATTATTATCAAGCCTATCAGCTCCAGACTCTGTGTCTTGCGAATCAAGGGAGTTGCGAATCAAGTTTCACAATGTCAGCATCATCTGTGTACACATGCCTACAAAAGTCTCTGAAGATGAAATGAAAGACGAATTCTATGAGGAACTGGAGAAGTGCTTTGATGACTGCCCTGCTCATGATATGAAAATAGTGATTGGAGACTACAATGCTCAAATTGGAAAATAGAAAGCATTTAGGCCTACTATAAGAAGAAATAGCATTCATGAGAACTCTAGCGACAATGGAAAAAGGGTGGTGAACTTCGCAGCCTCTAACGGTTTGGTTGTGGGAAGTACCTATTTCCCGCACAAGTTAGTGCATCTAGAAACATGGAGGAAATTCGGACAGAACGGATCCACTAAAAGCTTTCAGATCGACCATGTACTCGTCAGCGCCAGAAATAAATCCTTATTACTTGATGTTCGCACAAAACGAGGGGCTAACATTGACTCGGACCACTACCTTATAATTGCAAAAATAAGGTATCGGATATCAACAGTGAAGTACCAGCCTCGATGTTCTCTGAAGAGGTACAATATTGAAAAGTTTAAGGACAGTGATACAAGCATTAGATTCTCATACCAACTGGATATCAGATTAAGGAACTCTTTCCCAAAATCAAATCTCGAGGCACAATGGAACTCATGCCGCATACATCCATAACTGCACTTATGGAAGTAGCGAACTAGGTTGTAGGAGATAAGACCAAGCAGATATATAACACGTGGTTCGATGACGAATGTGGTGCAGTGACCAAGAATAAAAACATTGCATACAATAAAATGATGCAAAGGAAGCACACACGAAGATCTGTCGAGGAATACAGAGCAACGAGAAGGCGCGAGAGGCATGTCCATAGGAGGAAGAAAAGACGATGGGAGAATAAGAGTCTACAGGAGATAGAAGAGGCCTTCATCTCCAAAAATACTAGAGAATTCTTTCAGGTTATTAATAAAGAAATTGCCTGTACCACAGGATGCAGAGCAAACGATGGCTCCTTAGTAACTGACAATCAAGGCATTTCGGACAGATGGGCTGAATACTTTTCAACTCTTCTTAACAGAAATGGCACAAATGTCTCAGAGGCAAATGAATCAATTACGGGTGGTGAAGACGTAGAACCCCCAGACGAGGAAGAAATCAATGAAGCCATAGAAGGACTAAAAAGCAATAGAGCCCCAGGCATTGATAACATTCCTGCAGAGTTCTATAAACATGGTAATCAAGAGCTCATAAAACTCCTCCAGGAAATGTTTCATGCCATTTGGGTAGATGAAGAGCTTCCAAGTGATTGGAAAAAATCCATTAAGCCCAGTGTACAAAAAAGGAGACATCTATCAATGTAATAATTAAAGGGGCATATGCCTTCTATCCACCGCCTATAAAATCTTTTCAAAGATTCTTTATAGAAGAATCATTTCTTATGCCGAGGCTGCAATCGGAAAATACCAGGCCGGATTCATTAAGGGTAAATCAACCACTGATCAAATATTCATCTTGCGAATCCTTCTGGAGAAAACCAAAGAATATCAAATTGGTACACATCACATCTTCATTGATTTCAAGCAAGCATACGATTCCATAAATCGTGAGGAAGCATACAAAGCAATGGTAGAAATGAATGTACCTAAAAACCTTGTAAGGCTTGTTAGAATGACAATGGAGGGTAATGATGAGTGTTTCGTACGAGTACAAGGTGACTTGCCAAAGGGGTTTAGAACATCGACAGGTGTAAGGCAGGGAGATGCTCTGGCATATCTGGTATTCAACTATACCCTTGAAAAAGTCATAAGGGATTCTGGTATCCAGACTACAGGAATCCTCCTAAATCGAATGACCCAAATACTTGGAAAAGAGGACGACATTGATATAATGGGAAGATCGTTTGCGGTGGAGGCCTAGTCTCAAATAATTGGGATGTAGTGCCATTTAATAATAATTATCATTATTGAGAAGAAAAAAACTGAAATCAATATCACTGGATTCTGGGCATAATATAGTATACAATATTTGAAACACCACATTTCACTTAAGACAATAGACATAATAAGTAAGTAGTTCATTACCCGATATAAAAAATAAATATGTCCATAGATGAGTACATTACAGATAGTAAATAGTATTAGCATGTTTTTCTTTTTTTAAAAAGCACTGTTTCAATTCTATTTTGATAAAAAAATTTTTAAAATTAAAATCTAAAACTTTACAATTTCTGCCTCGCACGGGCTCATTACCGCGTATGGGGAGCGTCCCACGGGTGGCGGATGTGGGGATGGTCGGTGGAAATTCCTTGGAAGTTCCTCCCGGCTAAGTCCAATGGACTCGCTGACCAACAATGAGAGGGACCCTCCAGACTTGCTCTAGGGAGGGGACCTCCAGACTTGCTGGAGGTAGGGGCCCACCAGACTTGCTGGAGGGTGTGACGTAGGATTGAACGCCCTACTCACATATCTTTAGTTCACCAAACACCACAAAAAGTCATGGATCTCCCTACGGTAAAACGCTCATTATCTGGAGGTAAACTAGTCCCCCGTTCGGGTCTCCGGGTGGGGACTGCTTTAGGGGATTCATGGCGCAAGTTGAAATATAGGGATTTAAATATTGGTACGTGGAATGTAAGAAGTTTTAACACAGCAGGGGGGCTAAAATCGGTCGCGAATGAGGTAAATGGGTACAATTTGGATGTCGTGGCTCTGCAAGAGGTTCGCTGGCCAGGGGAGGGCTCGATGAGGGAAGGAAAGTACACTATTTGGTACGGAGGAAGCGGGAATCATTGTTTAGGTACCCGGTTTCTAATTAGGAGTAGATTACTATCCGCTTTGAGGGTAGTACAATTCTTTAGAGATAGAATTTCGGTAGCTATATTTCAGGGACGTTGGTTTAAAATCGCATTAATAAACATACATTGTCCGACCGAAGACAGTGACGATGAAGTCAAAAGTGAATTTTACGATAAACTCGAATGGGTTTATGATAAACTACCGCGAAACTACATGAAAATAATTATAGGTGACGCGAACGCAAAGGTAGGAAGGGAAGAAGTTTATATTCCGACGATTGGTAAAGAAAGTTTGCACGAATATAGTAATGATAATGGGATCCGTCTGATAAACTTTGCTATCTCGAAAAACCTGGTAATTAAAAGTACGACGTTTAAACATAAGTATATTCATAAATATACTTGGACATCGCCGGATTCGCAAACACGAAATCAAATCGATCATGTCTTGATACAACACAGCTGGCAAAGCAGTATAATCAATGTACGGTCTTATCGCGGAGCAGAATGTGGGTCGGATCATGCATTAGTAATCGCGAAACTTCGACAAAAACTTAATATAAAAAAGAGAAAAGAAAACCGTTTCGATTTTGAGAATTTTAATTTGGAAAAATTAAAAAATCCATCAATTAGAAACCAATTCGAGCTAGATGTTAAGAATAGGTTTGAAGCTTTAGAGCTTCCTGACGAGGACCACGAGGATATTGACAAGTTATGGGTTGAGATCAAGGATAATATTAAAGCGGTCGGTAACTCGTGCCTAGGAAAAAAGGAAAATAAGAATAACAAACCGTGGTTTGATGAAGATTGCTTAAACATGTGCGAAAAAAGAAAAGCCGCTAAATTAAAAGCTCTAAATAATCCTAGCGAAGACAATCTGGAATACTTCCGAAACTCAAAGAACGAAACGACAAAATTGCTCAAAAATAAAAAAAGGGAGTATCTTAAAAATAAAATAATTGAAATAGAAGCTAATAGAATCGAAAATAACGTAAGAGACATGTACAAAGGTATAAACAGATCACGTAAATATGTAGGGCCCGTAACGTCTGGAATTAGGGATGATAATAACAATATTCTGATCGATCCGGTTGACATATTGAATAAGTTTAAGGACCACTTTGACAATATTTTAAATACGGGAAATTATGATCGGTGTCCTCCTTCTGAGTACCAGAGTGCTGAACCGTTAATAGAAGGACCAAGTAAAGAGGAAGTTGAAGTAGCTATCGGGAAATTAAAATCATATAAAGCAGCGGGAATCGATAATATTCCTACTGAACTAATTAAGGCATGCGGGGAAGCTGGAGTTTCTAAAATACATTGGATGAAAAGATCTGGGTGAACGAGAAATTACCTGAAGAATGGAAGGAATCTATTCTTATTCCGATTCACAAAAAGGGTTCGAGGACGGATTGTAATAACTATCGAGGAATTTCACTCCTTCCGGTATGTTATAAAATATTTACTTTAATCTTAACTTGTGGGTAAATACGACAACGTTAATGAAAGCCGGTAAAGAACTAGGACTCGAAATAAACGTGGATAAAACAAAATATACGGTTAGCTGTAAAAATGGCGATACTACTGGTGATATCGATATAGATGGTAATATGTTTGAACAGGTAGATAAATTTAGGTATCTAGGTTCTACGATAACTAGAAAAAACGAAATTGAAGAAGAGATTAAGGTTAGACTGAAGGCGGGAAATGCTTGTTATTTTTCTGTGACAAAACTACTCAGTTCGCGCCTCTTG